TTCGGAAAGGTGAAAACCCCTTATTTAATATGTGCGCGGGATATTTAATGTTCGGTTTCGCTCGAACTTAGGCTTTTTTACTTGTTTTAATTTAAATTTTTGTTTAGACTGTAAACAATTTTTTTTTAATTTCGAAATTTTCGTCAATGTTAATTTTGTACGTAGAAAAACTAGTAAATATTTTACTTTAGGGATATAATTTAAATAGATCCTAATTTCTGATTACTCTCCTAAGGGAGAAGTTAAAAAAGATTGTTGGGTGAAGGGTCATCTCACAAGCTAAGTATTTGACAAAACGATGTCCGCCGCTTCGTGCCTCGGCCAAAGACACTATTTCATCTTCAGATCAAGTGAGAGAAACCTAAGTTGAGCGGCAATACAAGCACATTCACTCACTATCTCTTACAGCTCTTTGAAGCAGAGCTTAAGCGTGTTTTTATTTTTAATTTTTATAGAACGCACAAGAACTCTTTTAATATACATCTAATCGAAAGAGTTTCCGAACAGAATTTTTTTCGTTAACTTAAGTTTCGAATTTGTTACAAAAACCAAAAATACCAAAAAAAAATCTGACAAAAAAGTTTGAAATTTTGTTGAAATTTTTTCTATATTTTAGATAAATTTTAAGACTTATATTTCAAATTGTTTATGTTATAGAATGAACTATATGTTTATAAAAAAAAATTTACCAAAAATTTGTTTTATGAAAAATATGAATATCGTGAAAAGATATTTCTACGGACTTTTTCCAGTGGGTGTATTGTTATATTAGATCTAAAAATAATATTACTAGTGCCAAGTATTGCTTTTATGAGTAGGTTTGATAAATTACTACACCGGTAAGCCACAATTTTTTTTGATAAGATTAAGCAAACAATATTTTTAGTTCAAGTAATAAAAATGGAATTTTAAGCTTTTGGTAATTGATCTATTGGGGGCTTAGGAAAATTTATAGTAAACGCGCTATAATGTACACAAAAAAACGTTAACAGAAGTAGGAAAAATGCTCAATGACATACTTAAAAGATGCAAAGAAAATAGAAATGACTAACTATTAGGGAGCGATTTTGAGATGCAATATTAAGAAGCCAGCGAGGTATATATATCGAACGGACTTAAAACTGAAGCATTTTGCGGATACAATTATTGACAAATACAATCTATGGATTAGCAACAGAATAAAAAGTTTGAAAAGTGAAATAGAGAAATGGGAGAATGTAAAAATTAAGTTAAATTTAAGTATTTCCTTGCTTCGCAACTCATTAGAAAAAAGCTTTCACTATGCTTCAACTACATATAACTGCCGTCCCTAAATTGGGGCGCTAAGCGTTGTGTGATCCAACGCCTACGAGTGCCAGCCCGCGCTGTAGGCAAATTTTTGACGTTTACATATTTTCCTTTTTAACTTTTTTCCTCTCTCTTTCTTTCTGCCTACTGGACCCAACTTCATCAACAAGTAACAAACTGTCAAAAATTAAAATTAAATTTGCTCGACGCTAGCGCCCAGTTCTTGTGGGATGTTTATCATTTCTCGACATAAGTACCCCGAAATATGTACATATGTATAAGGAACATTGAGATTCCAACGTAAAGTTACGTCAATTGAATGCAAATTCTAGACATTAAGGAAATAAGCGTAGATTATCGGAATACATACTTAAAACAATTACTTCGCTGGTGTGAAAAATCGTGCGCAACTATGACGTTGCTTCAACTATTTAACGAATGATTTGCTTGCACAAAACTCCACTACTAATCGTAAGACAAATAGGCGAGAAAAATGGAAAAGTGAGACGTAAATATCTCCAGAGGCAAATGATATTTTTTTTACCGAATTCAAAAAAAAGGAGGTTATCAATTCTTCGGATGTTATTTTTATGTGTGTTACCGGTAACATTTGGCCACGTGAACAATTTTCTATAATTCTTTAACGGAAAAGTAGTGTCTCAGGGGTAGTCCCATACTAATGTGGTTTAGTTCCGATGAATGGATCATGAGGAAACTAACTTTCACTCACCTCTACTAGAGACCTGAGTGAAGAAGGATCTGATTGGTGCACATGATAATTCTTTTTTCCATTTGAATGATAAAATAATCAAATTTAATTTCTACACCACTTCATTGTGGCCGGTTAGTGAAGCTATAGGGAACCTAATATTGCTATTTTTGCCCGCAGATAGACCACACAACCAGCTTTTGGACATACTTAAATAGTAATAGTAGTCCCCACATACCCACTGACAGAATGCACTCAGAGGGGAATTACAAAACTTGATTAATTATCTAGCAGCCATTAAATGCAGGAAGAACAATTACTCAGCAAACAAGCATAAACAATCAACAAACTACATACGATAAATAGAGGCAATAACAAAACAACAGGAATGAGGACGAGAGCGCGAAACAGAACAGCAATGAATCAAATGACATGCAAAACACAACAGCTTTTAAGACAATGCGAAGACAGTGGTGAATTCATTGCTTGACGTATGGAGAGTAATTTAATTATTAATTAATAACAGCAAACCGACTGCAGACAGCAGCGGCAACAAACAATAAGACAAGCAACAACAGCAATACTCAAATGAGAACATAACTCAGGCGGCGTATAATGTAGTCACAGCGACAACAACAATTTATGCAACATAATAATGCTGTCAATTGCACTTCTCAATAAGCAAATTGAAATGCACCCATCCATACCGTGAAACGCTAGACCACAGGCGAGAATACATATTCGTACACAGTGACCGCCAGGGCGTATGCGGCGGGAACATATAAAAATAAGTGGCGTGAGAACTTACATGCTTACTAAGCGCTGATGAACATGCCAGCTCTATATATCTGTTCATTTGCTCACAAAGCAGATTTTTAGATGTTGGTTGTTATTGTGAGATCACAAAAATTGCACGTACCTAACTCATTATGGCCACACAAATATAATTTATTCTTATCTCTTTCACCATTTTATGTTTTATTGGTTGTCACTATCTACATAGCATCCACTGATAAACAATACTGAAAGCATGTAATTTCCCATTTCTTGTCAAATATGTACCTATGTACATCAACAAAAAAAAAGAGATGGAACAAGAAAACCTTCCGCCGCTACTGGACTTACACGCTACCGGTGTTTTTTGTTTGGGCGTGTATTATGTGACATTTTTTAACTGTGACTTTACGCCCACACATATGCACATACCTGTATAGCACTGCGTGTTTGTTTGGGATGAAATTAAAATCTTAAGCTGATAAGCAACGCATTGGAGATTCGCATAGCATTCGAAAAAGAAAATGAAGATATAAAAAATAAGTTTATCATTCTTGAGATAAGTAGCCTGTTTTCTTGAGATTTGAGATACAAATATACAGACTAGCAGATCCAAGAAAGTATTGCTGTACTCAATTTTGGATATTTAAGGTAGTATTATCACTGGCGAAGTGAATTAAGAGGCAGAGCAGGCATTAAGAGTTTTAGCAATGCAAAGAACTTGCACAAGCTGGTACGAGCGAACACTTTTAATGTATATTTTAGTTGCGTTCGCCAAACCATTCGGTTCGCCAAATTTATTCGCATCGCAAGTGCTAATACCAGCCTTAGTCGATCGAATACATCCGCNTCTTTTAATGTATATTTTAGTTGCGTTCGCCAAACCATTCGGTTCGCCAAATTCATTCGCATCGCAAGTGCTAATACCAGCCTTAGTCGATCGAATACATCCGCATTTAAAGAAGCCTGCTCAAGGATCGACGGAGAATCAAGACATTCGACTATCCCAAGCACGTCGGCTATTGTAATCATGTAGGCTATCCTTAGCACGTAGGCTATTCTAATCTAAGCACGTCGGCAACTATATCGATGCCATCAGTAGCAACTATTGAATAGCCTCTTTCGCTTTCTATAAGATATAATACCAGCACAACAGGAAAGGTACATCAGAACTCACCATATGCCTATTGTCAGAAAACTTCTATGCATATGCCTCTGAACTTCAAGAGACCGCCGGAGGAGATCTAGCCTGAGCTGGAGCTAAAGAAATTTGTTCGACTCCCTGACAACTTTTGTATGCATATATCAGTCAGAAATGTTAGTTATACAGGCGACAGCACGGAGCATCGCTTAAAAACCTACATAGAGAGAATTAGGCTTTCTTTTTTCTGAGTGAGGCGGCCCTGAAAGCTTTAGAATTATCAATAGATAATACAAAGTCCCGTCATGAAGGGCTTGGTTCTGGGAGGTGACCCTGTAATGCAGAATTCAACTAATATAGTTGCCTGACACTGGGGTATTAAGGGTGATTGCGAAGCTGATGAATCGGCAATGAAAGGCCAGTTAATGCTGGATCAAGCGTTCGCCCTGTAATAACTCCACGATTAGCTGGCCTTGTCTATAGTCTATATAGAATGGAAATGTGTCCTTATAAGGGCTCCTACGGGTCACTGTCTATTTGGCTTACACACGATGATTCTAGGGCGGGGAGTGGGACACATGGGACCACGGACATGCATAGTTGCATGAACAAAATAAAAGAAGAAAATAACAAACACCTTTGCACCCGAGTAAAATTTTTAACACCGAAAGGCATTGGTAACTATATATGATATCATTGTCTCACGTGTGTGGAGGAAAACTCCCCAAATATTCTAACCTAACTTATTACACAGGCCTGATAAATTTAACTATTTTCCGCCCTTCCAATAACTATGTTAGTTTTTTAAATATCAAGGTAAATATGTTAAATATAAATACATATTTGTTTTTTTTCGGGTTCGTCGACATTTCTTGTTATTCATGAGATGCATATATTAGAATATTATCAATTCACGTGAAAATCCAAAAATTAAATAATTTAGAATTAAAATACCACTAATCAGACTAAGTAAACAAGAAGACTTAATTGAAGTTACCGGTAGCATTACGCGGTAAAATAAAGAAAGTAATTTTCGCGAAAAATATATATGATGGAATTTCTTATATATTTTTAACTTTTTTCTTCCAGGTGGTGATTTCGGGTGCATTATGTACAGTAGAAGATTATGTAATAATGTCACAGTGTGCACACAACAAAGCCATACATGTAGCTGCGGAAGGAACAGTCTCAGTGACAGACATTTCACAGACACGTAAGTAAAAAACACTATAAGAATAATTTAAGGATTTTTCAGTTGAAACGCTATTTGAAAAATAATATTTAATTGAACTGAAGAAACTGAAAAAGGTATGTCAGGTTAAACAGTTATTGAATGGGTCGTTTAATAACTTTTAGCATCGAAAATTCCCTCAGGGGCTCTCAGTGAGCTCTTTAAGGAATAGGCGGAGCAAAGTTGCCTATACTCAGAAATTAAATTTCAATTTTGAGCAACATTTGTGCATACTAAAATATCTGAAATTGGCTGGAGAAGTGCCAAAATCCCCTGCGACACTATTCCAAGAGGCAAGAAAAATAACACAATTTCGGACTGCGTGAACACCCCTTGAACTTTCCTTGTAATTTTTGGGACTTTCGACTATTTAACGAATTGCATGACACATGCCCTTACACAGTTTCAAGCGACATTCGGCATGATGAAGATGCGAGCCAACACGGCCGGCAATCAAGAACACAGCTGTGCGCATCTGTCACATAATTTCTCGAGCCGTAATCACAGGCGGCAGAACCGAAGAGCATAGCAAAGGGAAAATAAATAGTCTATTGCCAGGCTGCTATAGGCAAACACTAACACGTGCGCATACAAAAAGGATGTGTTGCAGAGGCTATGCCCACACATCACTGTATGAGTGTAGCACACGCTACTAATAACGAAACCAACTTTGCAACTTTTTGTTCGTTATTTCTACCTTCTGTTGCATTTATTTACGTTTTGTTGTTTTATGCGGTCACTCTGTTATCGCTTTGCTGCAATGCATAATGCATTGTAGGGTTTTTGTAATTCTTATTGTCCTTTGAAAAAACACTAAAAATTCCTATGAAACCCAAAGAATCCCGTTGAGTTGTTAGTTTTACAAACAACAAAAAATCAATGTTTTTGGCGATGCAACAGGTGCAAATGTTGCACTATAACGGAAAAGGGAATTTATGTGCATACAGATGCGCAACTAAAGAACGGAAATGGTGAACTCTGCGATACAAAGTATATGAGCGAGTGAGATGACCTGTATCTCCACATATGTATGTATACAAAGGCTGGCTGGCAGGCATGAAAGTACTTGCCAGTCAGCGCTCAGTCTGCTGCTACACGCGCTCGCCTTAATCCTAATGCAAATGTGCGATAAGTCTTTATGTCAATTTGTTCACCCAGTGTCTTTTTTATATATGTATATATGTACAAACCAACTGTTTCCTGTTGACCGGCTGTTACTAACTGCATTCGCCACCTTTTGTTGCACAGCAAATTAAAAGTGATTTACCATTTGCATGCTGTTCACTGCGTACCTGCGCTCTTTAGCTTGCCTAGGGTTTTCCCGACTGGAGGCGTAGTAAATGGTTGGAAAATAGCATATTTACTCTGGTTAATCCCAATTTGTTTATGCGATAAGCAACTTAATTTTCTTAGGAAAATGTGCGAATGTAATGAAGTTTTGTGTAAGAAACTGTAGGTGGCATCTTTGTGGCATACTTTCGGTATATTTGGCAGGATTTTCGGATAATACATCAATAGAATGTGCAATGTCAGTGCTGTTTGTTAATTTGAAGATTATANGGAATATTCATCAATAGAATGTGCAATGTCAGTGCTGTTTGTTAATTTGAAGATTATAGGCTTAGCCAAAGGATAACAGACAAAGACATTAAAAGGGGATGAATAAAGCTATATTTATATTAGGACAGCCGGATGTTCGTATATTTTAGGTGTGGTTATGATATTTAGAGGAAAGAGAATTCAGTCTTAAGCCAATGACTTATTTTTTCACATGATTCAAAATCTTAGGATAGTATAAATTGTAAATTTCTCTAAGTATTTAGAGAGGTATTCAATTATTTTATAAGACTTGAGTTAGGTTGGGTTACCTTAGCGTGTTTATAATCACCTTACACTGGTTTGGTTTTTTTCCTAGTGTTCCCACGAGAGTGCGTGAAGGTGTTAGCTCAGATCCTAATTGTAGTGCATTGTCAGACCGTGGATCCGACGAAGGGAGCAAGCGAGAATCAAGTTAGCCTGTTCACGATGAGCAAAGTAGGATCACGTTTCAGTTTAGGCGATCAATGACGGGAGAACTTATGACTTTACTGGCCTTTATCTCCTCTCCAAACAAAAATTAGGCCTGATGTTGTTACCTAATCTTTGTAGAGACAGAAGTACTGCAAAAGAGCTATGACGGTGATAGGACATCAGCAAAAAGTAAGCGTTTAAGAAATACTATGAAAAATTCGGAAGAAACAGCATCTACTAATCGATGGCTGAACGAATATTCTTAGTCAGGAGTCTAAAGACAAATTTAAAGAATTGAATAATAAACAAACAGGTATCTTTCCCTAGACATAAACACGATATAGAAGGTAGAAAAAGTTTCAATAAGTATCTACATAAATATCTATATCTTCAAGATCTTATTAAAATAAGAACATTCGCCCTAGGTTTCGAATTTCGTATTCTACTCGTAACTCAACTAGGCTTACTATCTGCCGAAGAGAACTGTATCCGGTTTATCGCGTCACCCGCAGCAATATACTTCACTCCAGTCATGACAACCAACAATGGGCCATAAATAGGTGTTAATAATGTGGAAAACATTTAGCACCTACGTTACGAACAAAGATTATAATAGGAAACTACTAAATGCTAAATAAATGATGCCAACCTCACAAAAAACAAAGACAAATACCCCGAATATCAAGTCTGCTTAGCGTGGTTGTTGGCATTGCTGCTATTTTGTAAATTGTCGAGCTATCGCTGCCGCAATGCATTTCCGAGAAATCGCACATACGCGCAACAACAACAATAATGCTAACAAGTAATAAAATACACACGAATATAAAGAAAGACTACGTAAAAAGGCCGCTGAAAAAAAAAATTGTCTAAAGACCAGAGAAAAAATCATGAAATCGATTTTAAGTTTGGAAAACAAACCATTGAACCTGTTATGGCAGCCCTTAAAGAGCTATTGAAAAGCAATGCAACTATTTATCAATTAACGAGGCAGCCAGGCAGAGGAAATAGACACTTCATTAAAAAGGCGTTGGAACAAAAATTAAAAATTTGAAAGAAAATTTAGCAACCTAAAGTCATTGAAGCGGCAATTGAAGAGTCAAAGCGTAAAAGTGACAGAATTTGTGCTGGTTTGAAAGTGAGCGGCAGGCGGAAGAGTTGTAGCATAAACAAAACACGGTGGCAATGTACAGCCCATTCAATCTTCTTTTACCTACTACTTCGTCAAAAGCAAACGGGTGGAGCAATCGATTTTTTTTTTTTTACCTTCATACATATGTAACTAAAAGGCTGAAAAGACCGATGAAAACTATTTGAGCAAACATTGCAGTAGTTAAAAAAAAAAATCAATAAAAAGAAAAAAATTTATCGGCGGTAAAGCATATATTTCTGAGGCGGTAGGTAGTTGATTGCACAGAAGCAGCGGTAGCAGAGCAGACAACGACACCGGCAGCAATAGAGCAGCCACAAGCGCATTTGAAAAACATTCAACGAGCAAGCTGGCAGTGACACTACGAGTGTACTAAGTACTATGTATGTACATACGTAGCAGCCAATATCAAGTGATCATCAGCGGATGCGTTCAACCAGTAGTCAGTCGGTCACATCGAGCGGTGATCATTCTACGCGCAGCCACTGTTGACACCATTTACTTTTTTACTTTATTTTATTTTTATTTTTTTCCAGTGGCACACGTGTACTTTTGGGGGTAGACGACGTATACATGTATACATCGTGAACGCTCACTTGAGACCCATTGATTTCTACTTAGTCACACACACACACGTGTGAGTTAATGTTTTGGGTGCATGTGTGTCCACTTGAGTGCAGGCTTTTCGGTGACTGCGTCTTTCTTTGCCGTGTATATAGTGAAAAAGAAAGCAAACATGCATTTTTCCCCTACCGGGCGTCAAACAATAGCATATTTTTATTTCCCACACTCGTTGAAAGAGTTAAGCACCAGCACCGATCGATGTTCGATCATTGCATCGATAGTGTTTTTCATTCAAAATTTCATACGCTCTGCTGTCATGTAGCTACGTATATACATATGTATGTACAGCAATTATTTACATATTCCACATTGCGAAGGAAAGTTAAAAACATTAGTGTGTTCTCTCAACGTCTCACCGTACGTCGATCATCAATACCGGTTACCAGCATTTGTTGATTTCATTTTCCAGAGTTGTTCAACGCTTACATGCATTCATTCTTTAAGTCTACATTATTATAAAAATATTTAAGCGCCAATTTTCGTCTCAATATTTTGTTAAATGGTTGGTTGGTTGCCTTCACCTACTGTGCCTGCCGTTCAAGTGCTTCGCTTAGTTTTAATGAAAAGGTCGTTGGTACTACGCGACAATTTTCTTTACACTTTTCTGATCTTTCGATATTATTGAAGTCGCTTTTTTAATTTCTTTGACTGAAGTATTCTTTTTTCTTAAAACAATTTAAAATTTGAATAACAATAAGCGCGCTGGGCTTCAAAGTGTTCTTGGTCGCTTTATTGATTGGTGATCCTCAGTGATCTTTTGCTTCATCAGGGGCACATCGAACGCTGCTGTTCTTGTAATTCTACTTGTGTGCCATTGTTGTTGCTCATGTCAAATTATTTGTGGCGCTGAACTTCTATGGCAGCCGTTACGATTTTCAAGATGTTGTGTTCCACGCTTTTTTGTTCTGCTTGCTTTTTATTGATGTGATAGTTATGGTTGTTTGTGTACTATGTTTTAAAACTAACAATTAAGTGCTTCAAGGCGACAATGGGCACGTTGAAGTGTCGCTGGGGAAACATATTTGGTTAGGTTGCGTAGTTTTCGACTGAAGTATAGAGATCGATTCTAAGAATAATAGCATGGGAAAGTTTTAAATATCTTTGGGTGAGAACTCATGAAACAAAAGTCCAATAGAAACTTGGTAGAAAAGGTGAGAAAACTGGCATGATTTCATTAACTTGGCTCAATTCTGACTCATAT